AACTATTTATTTACATGTTTAAAAGAAACTTTGCGCCGAATCATTTTTCGTTAGTTATGGTTTATCGTTGCGTACAGATAAGAATTAAAATTCTCCTTTATATCATACCTCCCCAAATTCTCACCTATAACAGTGACCCACCCATCGTGCAAAGTATGTCAGTCTTTTTTTTTATATATACTCTGAATAATATACACATATAACGAAGAAGCTGTTAGTTTTACAAAGATGATTACTTACCTATATTTTTTTTCCTTGGAGATACTCTAACCGTTAGTAAAAATATTCCAATTAATTCACATCATACGACCGTGCAGACATGCGCACGACGATATTTATTGATTTGAAACGTTTTCTTAATACTTTTTCCAACGAAGAAAATTGGTTTTCATGTTTTTAGAGAAAACATTTTTTCGATTAAACAATTTAATTTTTTTCACGATGTACTTCAAATGATGCGGAATTTCCGCCCGACGGTACCTTATTTGAAACGTTTATCGTCATTTTTAACAGTTCACCCCTCGGATCCATTTTTATGTCGTTTGATATTTGTTGACTTCAGGGTTACCTTGGCAACAAAGGACACAAAACCACGACTAATACTTCGATGCTTTGTAAAGTGGTTTTCATTTGCAATGATTTTATACCAGAGCAGGTCACAGATTCGTTGGGGAAAAGTTAAATTTTTAAAAAAAGATTGTACTGTAATATAGACGGAATCGAATATTCGAATTTCATCGATAAACCCATACTGCTATTTTAGATCCTAAGCGCAGCGATGAATGATATTGATTTTACTATGATGTGTTTTTTCGTGTCCGTGAACAACTTTTTCCGCCAGAAATCTTCACCGATTTTAATGTGTACCATCTTATCTGAAACTAAATTTTTCTACTTGGTGTGTGGGAAGGATAAATTTTTTGATTTTTGATTTTCCTTTTTCTGTGTGAGCGTGCGTGTACATAGCTGTTATCATATCAAAATACGCAAAATAACCCGTGGAGGATCGTTTCCTCGGCAGGTAGGATATTATAATATTACAATAGCATGTTTCGACGATTTATTTCGTTCGTCGACCTTGAGTTAATTTCGTCATTTTCGACAGCAAGCGGCCGGATACGTCCCCGCCGCCGCCTGTCAATATTATAACAACAACTACGATAATAATAATTACTTTACTCGGATATCGTTAAAACCGTCGTATCAAAAACCGATTAGTCGACCTGCCCGTCGGACCGTCACGTTGTCGTCGTGGTACCACCTACGCGGTCGTACAATAATAATTATAATAATCGAGTATAATAATTACGCCCGCGGACGTGTCCTCTCGTTTTTCCCGAACGGAAACGATATCATAATATCGCCCCTCCCGGGCTGAATAACCGACACGGCGCCTTTAAGTGTATTATCTTGACCCAGGATCGAGAAGTTCCGAACTCGGTGGTTTATCGAATATTATCTTATCGCATTAAAAGCTCAAGTCCAGTATGTTTTAGACTTATTCACATTAACACGGAACATTCGTCCGGAGGGCTGCAGGAGGCACGATGGGTCCGAGCGGATCACAAGCGATAGACTGATATTATAATACAGATACTTGAGTGTGATAGTGAACGAGATATTTGCACCGAGTCAATTAAAAACACTCCGTTTATAATCAGTCGTGGTATTATTCAGTATTTCTGTAATGAATGAGATTCGTTCCAGTTGTCAGATAAATGTTAAGACGACAAGTTCACTACACTGGAGTTGCTAACATTCTCCAACTATAAATTGTATACGCCCGCGTAATGTGACCAACCATTCTCAAAAAAAAATTTAACTCTCATCGTTTTATACAGCTTTATAATCATATTTTGTGTATCCACCGATCCAATATCAATTTTGAAGCTGTAGCCGTCGTTTGTAATCAATTTTCGTTTTCTTATTACAAATATGTCGTAATATTTTATTATTCGTGTTCTGTTTATGGTTGTCTTAACTAAGGCAACAATACAATACAACGAAGCTGCGCTAAATTGGACATTTTGGATTAAAATGTGCATAAATTAATAAAATCATCCATGCGTGGAAATATATCATTATTTAATTTGTTTAAAAAAAAAAAAAAAATCAGGTTAAAATAAAAAGCATCTTTGGGTCAGTGAAATATAAAATAAATAAATCATGGCGCAAGACTGTGGATGGATAACGTAATTATTACAAGAAAAAAAAACTTAAACATTTTATACGAAACATAACAAATATTATTGCATATCGCCGTAGTGGGACACCTGTATAACACGAATTCGTGTTTCAAATAATTTTAAACAATAATTGTTCCCCTGTTGATGGTGTAACTATACATTTTGATTTGAATTGTATCTTTTCGATATTGGTAATACTGCAAACAGCTAGCTGTAGTTACAATTGCCTTATCATTTTTCTGACGACTGGGTACTACCCCGGTAATGAATTCTGAATAATGATAATAACATAAAGCCTAGAATTGAACCGGAATTTCTAGGCATTATGAACGATACGATTATGTATTACCTATAATATTAGTTCATTGTTTCAGCGATTTTCGGTCCTCTGAACGTGTATGTTTAAAGCCCCGAATTCGACCGGTATGGGTATGCACGAATGATTCAGTTTGCAATATTATGCTTTCGGGTTTGTAAATTCCTCGGGATTCGCGACGGCGGTCGAGGCGAACGGGTGCGATTAAAATAATATTATATACGAACAGAAAAAAAAAAAAATGTATAGTATGACACGCGCTTTCAGAACGATAGGTTTTTTTTGGTCCGTGTTGAATTCTGAGAGCAGCGCAAAAACTATAAAAGTAATTTTATTAAGACATGTTTTTTTTTTTTTTCTAGGAAAACACTTTTTCGTTTAGTAAAAAAAAAACCGCATCGATACGCACGCAATGTATACCCTGAAAGATGAAGAATGTCCGTCCGGCGGTACACAATTCGAAAAATGTTTCTAGATTCCGGACAGTTTTTTTGAGAAAATTAAAAAAAAAAAAATAAAACAAATAGCCAACTCTTTGACATCAAATGTCAGTATCATCGTCGGTTTTGTTTTCGTCGATTTTCAAATCGCCTTGGTTTTACGAATGGGAAAAAAAAAAAACAACCGATTATTAAATCATAACCAGTGTATATAAACTTACCGGTTTACCGAACTCTACAGAGAATCGTTTTGTTGTGATTGTAACGATTTATCGTTGATTTCGGTACATAAACCAAATGTCCCTACACACACGATAATAACATTATCGGCATTGACACGAAAAATCCTTCCTTGTGCTGAAAAATCCCGGTTTTTCAGGAGATACAAAAAACAATCGAAATACCTCTGATCTATACACCGGAAAAAATTTATTTTTTTTTTTTATAACTATAATTCTCTTATGGAAAAAAAAAAAAAATAAAAAATATCGGGATAGAAAACAATAATTATGTAAATATTTAATTATCTTTCAATGCTTCACCACGTCGCCACGTGTTATTGTTCTAGTTTTTTTGCTAAACTAATACGTAAATGCAGTGGTGTTATCGTTTATTTTTTTTATTTTTGAGAGTATATTATAACTCCCTGTGACTCGCATGGGGTGTTTTATATCTTTTGTTTTATGATTTATTTTGTATATTATAGGAAAATGGATATTAATTGTACAAAAAAAAAAAAATATTAAACTTACCGAAACGAAATTCTATAAATCGTAAAATAATTGTGAATTATTTTGTTATAAATTGTTTAAATTATTACAAATTTGGTTACTATTCCATATTTTAGTGGCATAAATGCAGATATGAACGGAAAATAACAGTACTACAATATTATGACGGATTTTTTTTTTTATCTATTTGAGAATCGATAAAAAAAACATTGAGAGTTTGCGTTTGCGCAGTACAACCATAAGAGAACACGTATTGTTTTAAGCATTTTATTGATATCGTTTACGTCGCATATGGGATGTTTTTTTTTTTTTTTTGTTCTATCGTCGATTATTGTAAAGCGCGAAGTAGACTGGATAATTTGTCGTAATGTAACTTACTTTATTATGTCTAGCGCACCTACGACACTGGCCTACCCACGATGCGTGTTTTCATCGTCGAATATTGCGGAAGAAAATAAGAAAGTATTGAAAAAAAAAATATTCAACTACTATTAGCTTATCGAAACCGAGCGTATTTCTTCTGCAGACCCGTGGTTCCGTCGGCGACGTCGAGATCGCGACACTCGCGCAAATAGAGCGAATTTCGTGGTAATGTACGTGCGCACAGGTAAACCGAATGCCGCGAAAGTCATTGAGGGAGTCGAAGCCGTTTAACCCGTCGACGACCGGGAAAAAAATAGAAAAAAAAAAAACAACAACACGTAATAGGTACACACGACAATAATAACATCGCATGACTCATTTTTTTTTTTTTTTAATGACCTGTCAAGCGGCACGCGCGCTCCGCAAAAGCCGCCGCAGGTCGTTGCAAGTGCGCAAATACGAAAATATTTATATTTTCACGCGACGCACGTGAAACAATACAACTCGCCGAGAGTGCGCGTTTTATTATTTTTTTTTTCCCCTGAAATAGTCGCCGATTTTTTAGCTGCGGGTACCCGCCGACGATGTTATCGACGTAGCAATCGATTCGCCGTCGTCGTATCCGACGATTTTCTCTTCCTCCCGGACGAAAATCGTTACGTTACGGCGATTCGACGGGTAGTAAACACAGTGTTTTTGTTTAGAATTTTTTTTTTTTTTAAAGTTTTCGCTTTCCGTGGACTCCCGAGGTCGCCGCGCCGTGCCGGTCGGTACGGCGGCGGCCGCCGCCTCGCGTACGTCGACACCGCGGCAAAAAATAACCGGCGGCGGCGAAGTGTTCAGGTGCGGGGACGGAGGAGCTGGACGAGGCGCGAAATAACAACAACTATCGATTAACAATTATATAAATATAATTTTAAGATATATATATATGAATATACATATATATATGAATATACATATACACGTATGAATGTATATATAAAAAAAAAAAAAAAAAAAATGTTTTCATAATGTAAGTAAGAGTATAATATTATGTACTTATAGTAATAATAATAATAATAATAATAATAATAAAAATAATATACTCGTCGCGTACGCGAAAAATAATAATAAAAAAAAAAAAAGTGTTAAAAACTCTTCTTAACGTTGTCGTATATAATAATAATAATAATAATAATAATAATATAATATAATAATAATAATAATATAATAATAATATAATATAATAATAATATAATCGTAATAAACGTATTAATATTATCATAATTATTGAACTGATTAAACTCGGCGAACAATTACGATTCAGTACACGTCTATAGCTGTAATAATAATAATGTAATAATAATAATGTAAAATGAGAGAACGTTTTTATCTATATGTACAACACCGTGGTTTTTTATTATTATATTGTTTGTTTTTTTTTTTTTTTTTTTTTTTTAACGCTTTTCATCCGTTACATACGGTACACACCGGTTTTCTCTCATTTTAGTATTTTCTCAGCCGATTCTATGTACACACGTTTAATAATAATATAATATAAACCAACTAATAATAATAATAATAATAATAATAATAATATATATATATATGGATATATAAGTATATAAAATAGAATATAAGAAATAGTTGCGTACATAGTAATGGGGTGGGGGTGGGGGAGTAGGGTGACGGGTTTTCACGGGGATGTTTTTTTTTTTTCAATCATCAAACTCTTTTATTTCTTTAACGCCGAACGTACGATTGATAATAACGCATACGTAAACGTAGTTTATCATAATTACACGTATATATTTTTATAGACCTTGTATAAAATGTTATCGTTTGGGGGTATATAATTTCCGTTGTCCCTTTCCCCCGTATAAAATGTATTTACGCGTATTTTTTTCGGCGTTCGTGGGGTTTGGTGGCGGTTGTTTGGGGGGTGGGGGGTGGAGCAGGTTGGTGGCGGGGACAAATCGAACATATCGAAATAAAAAAAAACCGAATTAACATCATCGTGACTACGCTGTACACCTCTCACTTAGAAAAAAAAAAATAAAAAAAAAAAAAAAACAAGTTATATTATTTTCATAAGGGTTAATAATATATAAATATAATATATAGGAGGAAAAAAACAATACAAGTCATTGTACAAAAAAAAAAAAAAAAAAAAA